TATTCAATCAATCATTGTTCGTGGATATATAGGATGAAATATGACACTAAGGACGTAAACATGTCTTTAATAGAACCTTTTAGGAGTATAAATGCTACATTAAAACACACAAAGGTTGAAATCGGATAAACAACTGTTACAAGACCTAAACTTATAAATAGTATTGAGGTTAAAACCCTGCAGGATTTATAAAATCAGTTCTGTCGAATTTGAGTTTGGATCACGATTATATTGACAGGTTACTGTTGTTTTTATTGTGGACAGAAACATTTCGGTCACTGTTAAGTTTTTAATATATATACTACCTTTATTGAAGTATCTTTGTTTCATCTGATGTCTGTGCTAATACTTTTATTTCCCCTTAATCCACTATCCTTTGTTTGTATTCTACACTGAGGCACAGTGTCATATAGACCTTCACATATCTGCTTCTCCTATCTATGACATATTTGCGGTCTTATCGCCAAGGGGTGAATGACCGTGAGGGATTGTGTTATAACTAGGATAGAAATTGATACATTAGGTATACATTGTGTTGTAACTTAAGTGTGTCATATAATACTTTAAGTTAGCATTACTTACCACTAGATATATAAATTCTTCAGCATATGATAGTTTTGTTATTCAGTTAATGTACCCGCGTGATCTGTTTGCGTATTACCATGTACTCATCTGGAACGATGTCAGTCAAAATGTCGAATTTCCCGCTGTATGATATCACGTTTTGTGACGTCAAAATTTAGTAATGATATGACGTCACAAACTCGCAGATAAAATCATAATGTCAAAATGAAAACCATACATATAGGGTCGAGACGACGTGATGCGACGCAATATCTACCAAAACTGATGGGATAGACAATGCAATATAAAAGGATATCAAATTCGTTTCTTCAATCAATTTATCATACTTGTCAAAAAATTTGCCAAATGCTCGTCAAAATGTGAAAGTCTTAAAACTGTAAATCACATATGCAATGCAAACCATACGATGCTAGTGTCATCCATATGTTACATCATTGCAAACCATATACTTATATGCATAGTTTGTTTAACAATGATTGACCGTAACACTTTCCGACATACTATTACAGGATTACCTATGGGAACAAACTATGTCCATTTATTGACTGACTTGTTTTTTTTTTATATATGAAACTGAATTTATCGAAGATCTTATTAAAACTGACCACAAGACCTTGCAAAATCCTCCAATTTCACTTTCTTTTACCAAGAAATGTATTGACTACATCTATGTCCATCGTATATACCTACCAGAACTGGAAGTAAAGGACAGGACACTTCTAACCCTCGATGTTATCATAGAAAGAAATCAACAGGGACGCCATATTTTACCTATTTATGGAACAGTTCTGCTTCTCCAATTTATGAGCTTTACATCATGGCATTGATTCAATATTAAAGGACTTGTTCTCAGTATCACGATTTTTGTGAAAGATATCAACAACTGGAAGAAAAACATGGAGTTTCAAGAGAATCAGATTGATGAAACTATTAGACAAGTTCATCATGATCTCATTGGTAAATGTTTTATTTTCTGATACGTTAAGATGTTATGGCGTTTTAGATGCTTGTTCTCGCCTCTGTTGTTTCCTTTATTTGAAACCTGGTTTTTCTTGCTTGTATTGAATTCGATTTACATAGCGGATGTCGTCGATGAAGCAAATGACGCTTACCCTTTCGAAACACCATATTATTATATTCTCCCTGGGCTAATTCAAAAGTCTTTTGAAAATCTTTCATTTGTTTATATTTGACCTACCTTTGATATGTAGTTTCATTGTTTTTTAAACAATTGTACAGAGAAAAGTACACAAATTCTTTTCAAGCTGGTGTTCAACTGCAATGACTTGAACATTCTAAGTTTTTAAGTAGTGTCTAAATATAGACCCTTCTACTGCCCTAGTATTTTCATTTTATATTGCATAGAAATTAATAAAGACTTGTAATTCACAGACAAAATGTGCTTAACTGATTCAATGTTTGTGATGCTCATCATAACAACTGCTCCTTGTGTCAGAGTTCGAGGAAACAGGTTAAAACTCAAATATAATGTGCTTTTTCTTAATCCTGTTTTTGACGTCATGTATATGTCTGTATGTATAACTGAGTTGATTTTCTTTAAACCGAAGTGATTTGGAGTGTCTGTGGCAACAATTTAACACAATTCAAAGAAGAGTCATTTTTTAATCATTGGCGACTGAGTTTGAAAGTTACTTCGCTACAATGACTAAATACATATGAATAGCACCAATGAAACTTGAGTAAACAAAACCAAGAAAAAAGCATTTCGTTACAAATCATTGGCAGGATGCGATTAAACTTTCCAAAGTCCAAATGATGTATTTTGTATGTTACGTATTCTAATAGGATCTTTCATTGAAAATAATCAGACAAGCAGTCTATAAGAAAGCTGTGTGATATTATCAGACAATTGCATGATATTATCAGACAAGCAGTCTATAAGAAAGTTGTGTGATATTATCAGACAATTGCATGATATTATCAGACAAGCAGTCTATAAGAACGTTATGTGATATTATCAGACAAGCAGTCTATAAGAAAGTTATGTGATATTATCAGACAATTGCATGATATTATCAGACAAGCAGTCTATAAGAAAGCTGTGTGATATTATCAGACAATTGCATGATATTATCAGACAAGCAGTCTATAAGAAAGTTGTGTGATATTATCAGACAATTGCATGATATCATCAGACAAGCAGTCGATAAGAAAGTTGTGTCATATTATCAGACAATTGCATGATATTATCAGACAAGCAGTCTATAAGAAAGTTGTGTGATATTATCAGACAATTGCATGATATCATCAGACAAGCAGTCGATAAGAAAGTTGTGTGATATTATCAGACAATTGCATGATATTATCAGACAAGTAGTCTATAAGAAAGTTATGTGATATTATCAGACAAGCAGTCTATAAGAAAGTTATGTGATATTATCAGACAATTGCATGATATTATCAGACAAGTAGTCTATAAGAAAGTTATGTGATATTATCAGACAAGCAGTCTATAAGAAAGTTATGTGATATTATCAGACAATTGCATGATATTATCAGACAAGTAGTCTATAAGAAAGTTATGTGATATTATCAGACAAGCAGTCTATAAGAAAGCTGAGTGTATTATCAGACAAGCAGTATATAAGACATCTGTGTGATATTATCAGAGAGGCGGTCTATAGGACATCTGTATGATATTATCAGACAATTGTGTATTACCAGACAGTTGTATGATATTACCAGATAATCAGTCTTTAAGACAGATGTGTGATATTATCAGACAAGCAGTCCTAGACAACTGTTTGATAAAGCCCATTTCATATCTAATGATTCTAGGTATCAGTCCAAGTTTCTATCAGTCAGGAGTGTAACCCTAGCCAGCTGCATACAAATATTATTTCGTAACAAACGGTTTCCAAATCTTTAGAAATGGGTTATACACACAGTGATACGTGGATTCTAATGAAGTTGTAACAGTGATACGGGGATTCTAATGAAGTTATATCAGTGATACGGGGATTCTAATAAAGTTGTATCAGTGATACGGGGATTCTAATGAAGTTGTATCAGTGATACGGGGATTCTAATAAAGTTGTATCAGTGATACGGGGATTCTAATGAAGTTGTATCAGTGATACGGGGATTCTAATGAAGTTGTATCAGTGATACGGGGATTCCACAGAAGTTGTATCAGTGATACGGGGATTCTAATGATGTTGTATCAGTGATACGGAGATTCTAATGAAGTTGTATCAGTGATACGGGGATTCTAATGAAGCTGTATCAGTGATACGGGGATTCTAATGAAGTTGTTTCAGTGATACGGAGATTCTAATAAAGTTGTATCAGTGATACAGGGATTCTAATAAAGTTGTATCAGTGATACGGGGATACCACAGAAGATATGCCCCCCTCCCCCCCCCACCCCCCAACCCCGCTCAAAAAAGTGAGGCGACAATTGACTTATTTCAAACTTATAGATCATTGCAATTGCATGTTGTGATGGTTTCGATAGTCTGCTGTGGTTAAGTGCTAATAAAAAACCAAGGCTGGCGCATGAAAAGGATTACTTGTGAGAAATATTACATTGAGTTTTAAATTGACAATACATTCGTTTAGTTGGCAAGATACTTGACAAACAACATGTACTGACTTACCGATTGAAAAATGAGAAAAATTCCCAATGTTCGCATTTTATTTATTGTGAAGCTGATATTATCGAAGGTTTTTTTCTCTTAAATTTGCGTAATTATTTCTATGTGTATTTAATGGATTTTCTATTTATAGTTAATCATATTTCTGTTTTTCCCAGTCTACCGTGTTTACTTGTCACAGCGGGTTTAATGTTCAAGGTTAATACTCGGAACATTGCAATTTCCGTGACAGATGCAGACAGCCGACGAGAAAATCACAATTCACAGTTTATCAGAGAAGTGTCATAATCGTCACTATAGGATTTCGTTGGATTTTTTATCAAGGAGGACCGGAGATAGCTTCTTGTCGGTACAACGGACAGATATCTCAAAGCAAAGTAAACGTCCTTGTCATTAATAGCTTTCGAAATGACAGAAACATGTGTGGGAACATACGAGTTACAATCGAGCTTTTACATCCTTAATTTACTATTTGCCTGTTCTTAAATAATGTGGATTAATTTCAAAAGTGTCATACTACATATGAAGACCTTTAACCAATGGCTTTCGATAGGGTGAATGAAAGTTGCTAAAATTTTTAATCGCTCAAGTTGTGAGATAATTCGATTTGTCATAGCCTATATGTCTCAGTCGTGAATTAAAGTGCCAAATCACAACAAATAACGAATATTATTTACGCAATTTCAAAGAAAATACAATATATTGAAATATTTCGATGCATCGCAATTAAATTATTACCTCCCTTGAACGTACCTCTCCTCCGCGAACAAGTAATATGTTTACACTTGTCAAGCAAAGTAGGTCGTTGAGAGTAAAGCTGCACCTTACAGATCTTAGCGAATCAAGTTGTTTTCAGTCGTATTTACGCGTTTTAACAGGTAAATATTTAATATTTGAATTATTTTGTTAGTATATGTTATCAATATGGTATGTTCATAAATAGGTATATCCCGTTGGTGAACTGTTGACACCACGACTCCAATTTCAGAAAGTTCATATGTCGAATCTGACGTTCAGCAGATAGTACCGTCACGGTGACCCATTTACTCACCGATTGTACCCAAACATTGTCAGTCTCCGAGAAACAGGTTTGACTTTAGGCTATGTGTGATCAGATATTCTACACTTAATTGAAATCGGAACATCTTAGTATACAGGTCAAAGATAAAAAAAACGTAGGGTCGTATTTTTTTTCCATTTTGGATAAGCATGCTAAATGAACATCTGTTGGAATAATCAGTATTATTGCACGTTTCATTTAATAAATTAGGACACATAAAGATAAAGATCTGTAGAAATCAAGGGTAGTAAAACAAAGCCTGTAGTTACAGGGTATAGTCGCCATGCTGGAATAAGGCTTCCTGGTCATGGATCTAGACTTCTACATATTGTGTAGTGTATATCAAATGAAAACGCGTGCTGTATTCTTTTGTAATAAGTGATTATAAGCTTATTTTCAAAGTTGGTCATTACAAGTCACAATTGTTTATTAGAACCCTATACATCTGACGGGTCCATGTTTTTGTCACTAGTGGATAATTGGAAAAGATTACTTACTTTTTAACAGTACACCAATCAAAACCATGGTCATATATACTAGACTTTTAAAAAATTATGCAATCCTAGCGTACCAATAGAAGCGTTCATTTCCCAATTACATGTAATTAACACTATGTGAACCAAGTTTGCTAACATTTTGATACATTATACGTGTATATAATGTAAATATAAGTGCATATTAATGAAATTATTATAAAGATCTTCGATCTATTTTTTTCACGTGTTTTTTAGAATAAAAGTTTTGATATTTAGCGAATTTTTTTTTTGACAAAATCAGATATTTGAATAAGATTATAAGCAAATTTGTTTTGAATTGTCATTACAAGTACAATGTAGATGTAGATTTTCCATCTAACAGTTCATGTACCCAATGAAACAAATAAACATTGTATCAATGGAGTGGTTATTTTTTGTTGCTAGAAAATCTTCTTATGATAGACAGTTGCCTTTTAGAAAATCATAAATGTATACATATTAATAGATAAATGTCAAGTCCTGATCAAAGACCAGAAGGGGATATAATGATATAAACGCTGCTATCCATCTGATCATCTGCATCACCACTTTAAAAAAAGATACAGTGCAAGGTGAAGTATATATGTTCAAGAATCAAACTTCTCACACTGCTTTATTATCAAGAATGTTTCTTTGTTATTTTGGTCAGTAGCTTAAACTGTTGGAAAATCAAGGTCACTTTTAATTCACTATTAACTAAAAGAAGTGAACTAGATTATCAAGTTTAAATTCACTATTAACTAAAAGAAGTGAACTTGATTATCAAGTTTAAATTCACTATTAACTGAAAGAAATGAACTTGATTATCAAGTTTAAATTCACTATTAACTGAAAGAAATGAACTTGATTATCAAGTTTAAATTCACTATTAACTAAAAGAAGTGAACTTGATTTTCAAGTTTAAATTCACTATTAACTGAAAGAAATGAACTTGATTATCAAGTTTAAATTCACTATTAACTAAAAGAAATGAACTTGATTATCAAGTTTAAATTCACTATTAACTAAAAGAAATGAACTTGATTATCAAGTTTAAATTCACTATTAACTAAAAGAAATGAACTTGATTATCAAGTTTAAATTTACTATTAACTAAAAGAAATGAACTTGATTATCAAGTTTAAATTTACTATTAACTAAAAGAAATGAACTTGATTATCAAGTTTAAATTCACTATTAACTAAAAGAAATGAACTTGATTATCAAGTTTAAATTTACTATTAACTAAAAGAAATGAACTTGATTATCAAGTTTAAATTCACTATTAACTAAAAGAAGTGAACTTGATTATCAAGTTTAAATTCACTATTAACTAAAAGAAGTGAACTTGATTATCAAGTTTAAATTCACTATTAACTAAAAGAAATGAACTTGATTATCAAGTTTAAATTCACTATTAACTAAAAGAAGTGAACTTGATTATCAAGTTTAAATTCACTATTAACTAAAAGAAGTGAACTTGATTATCAAGTTTAAATTCACTATTAACTGAAAGAAATGAACTTGATTATCAAGTTTAAATTCACTATTAACTGAAAGAAATGAACTTGATTATCAAGTTTAAATTCACTATTAACTAAAAGAAGTGAACTTGATTTTCAAGTTTAAATTCACTATTAACTGAAAGAAATGAACTTGATTATCAAGTTTAAATTCACTATTAACTAAAAGAAATGAACTTGATTATCAAGTTTAAATTCACTATTAACTAAAAGAAATGAACTTGATTATCAAGTTTAAATTCACTATTAACTAAAAGAAATGAACTTGATTATCAAGTTTAAATTTACTATTAACTAAAAGAAATGAACTTGATTATCAAGTTTAAATTTACTATTAACTAAAAGAAATGAACTTGATTATCAAGTTTAAATTCACTATTAACTAAAAGAAATGAACTTGATTATCAAGTTTAAATTCACTATTAACTAAAAGAAATGAACTTGATTATCAAGTTTAAATTCACTATTAACTAAAAGAAGTGAACTTGATTATCAAGTTTAAATTCACTATTAACTGAAAGAAATGAACTTGATTATCAAGTTTAAATTCACTATTAACTAAAAGAAATGAACTTGATTATCAAGTTTAAATTTACTATTAACTAAAAGAAGTCAACTTGATCATTAGGATCTTTGAGTTTGATGTTGATTGATGAAAATCAAACTTGACAAACTGCTTCCTGAAGGGAAGTGCTTGCTTTGAATGGCTTTTCAGGTAAAGAAAAAATCAAAAGTTAAGGTCACTGTAAGATTAATCTTTTCCCTGTCAAGTCTAGTCAAGTTCATTAAGGCTGAATTAACTTCACACAGAGCATCCTACTGACCTGACTTGCATTCCATGGGGTTGGGTTTTGTGAAAGATCAAAGGTAAATGTCACTTACAATAAACAAAAGAATTGTTTTTGTTGGAGTTTCCTTGGATCAATCTAACTCAAACTTTTTCTCATTTCTTTCAAAAATGACCAGTTATTATTTTGGATTGTTGTTCAAGTAAAACATGTAAATTGATATCAAGGTTACAGTTACTATAAATGGCATGTTCTTTTCAACACAGTATAAGATATACTATGTATAATATGTTTCGCTCAATAACTGTAGTCCCCCTGGAATTAAAGTTTTAAAATAGTCCAAGGACAATGGACTGACCAGGGAGATTAGCATCGTTCAGCTGTTTTAAGATAGTAAACTTTGAGTTGATTTTAATTCTCTGAAGACTTAGGTCTTTTAATTATTTGCAAACGAGTATATTTTTCAATATGATAAGTGTAATCTTACGCTGGTTGTTATAAAAGTATGTGTGTGATGAAATCTTCATTCCTGCCAATTTTGCTTTGGATGTCACAGTTTGATCCCTCAAATATCATTGATTTCAATATGTTATACCTAAGTAAGATTTAATGGGATACTTTATTGATTTTCTTATATCTCTAGACAGACATAAGAAAAGATATGTCCATTATTTTAGATTAATTGTACCAGATATTACTGATCACATTTTATATTATTTTTTCATGGATACTTCTCAGTAATATTTAAGAAAATTTTGCCAGAAGTATGCAGGGATGACATGCTTTCAGGTGTATACACATGGAATGATCTTGACCCCCTTTTAAGGTCAAATGGGCTGAAATTATTTCTATAAACAAAGGCCAAGAATCACATTATTCTGCTGACAGCATGCTATGGTAAAGAGCTTTCAGATTTGTCAAAATTGAATTAAACAACATAGTAAGTCTTCTTTTACCAAGCTGCAAAACTGGTGAGGGGAGCTGTATGAGTCCCTTAGGTCCTTTTGGTTCAGTTACTGAGTGATTCTTTAAAATGTTTTCGCCAAAATCCAGAAATTCTAATATCAAAAAGGTAAAATTTTAGAAGTTATCGGCAAATGATTACAAAAGGAATTTTTTTTTTTATGTGTGTATTTGACACAAGGAAAACTGTTAGATTTATATTATTTAATATGTTATTCAACTGATGATAAATGTTTAATGATTGTCTTCTTTTCGCAGAAATGTATAGACAAGAAAGGTGACCACAATACTGACAGTTATCTGTTAGCTTCTAAAATTGAAATGTCGGGTATGAACTGTATTGATCCAACTTCAGGGATGACTGATATACATCATAGTGATTTGACAAACAAACCTCATTATGAAAAAGAAATAATTAAAACGGAAAGCATTTGTCCGGAAACAAATACGGATGTGATATCAATGTGTACAAGCAGTACCTCACCCTATTGTTATGACGAATTCAGCAGAAGTCATGTCAGTCCACCTTACAGTGATACAAGTAGCCAGCCAAGTCCCCACACCACAGTGCTTACACCACCAAGCCTTAAGGAATACAGTAGCCTTCCCTCCCCAAACTATGAGAAACAGGTCAACTTTGACAACGGAGAGGAACAGTCAAGTCCAGACTCGGTCAGTCAACCATTAACATCAAAAGCCTCCACACCAATGTTGCCTCCATGTCGTGTGTGCGGGGAGAAAGCATCAGGATTTCATTATGGCGTCAATACATGTGAAGCTTGTAAGGTGAGTGAACATAATACTACATGAGATGGAATAGTAGCTTGATACAGTACTTTCCATAAGCATCAAAACAATTTTATTTTGTTTCTGGGTAAAGAATTGGTTTGGGTGTCAGTTAACTCTGATAAATCCCTATTAAGAACCTTGAAAACAGTGGATTCTAATGACTTGTGTCGCATAACCTTGTCAGGAAAATGGGTGATGATCAATTCACTCCGGATCATCAGGGGTCTCGACGATGCTGGCCCGATTAATCTTGTGCTGATTCATCTACCATAAGTGGGGACAAGGGCTCCCTTGCTGAAAGGCTGAGAGTAAAACCCCACTATATAGATTGATAGTGTTAGACTGTAATTGGATAGCTTACAATGTGTCAAAACAACTGAGATATAACAGTTAACCATAATTTGTGAGAATTGTGTTCTAAGTCATCCATCTGAAATAGATACATAATGTCATCAAACCAATCATGACACACTGCGGTGTTTTATATCTCAATGTTACGGCATTAGAATGAAATAAAGATTGTATGTTTGGTAATAAAACTGAATACATTGATGAGTTTTAAAACTAATTGTTTATAAATGTGTATCCACATACAGTCGATTAAATTGGTGACATTCTTCTACAGACATGTATGTAGTGTACAAGAATGGGACATTGATCTGATATGTCTTGGATTTCTCACAAAAACCTTCAGTGCATGCTTTATGCAAATGGTGGGTAATTAAGATTGCCCTTCATCTGCGGTCCGTCCATTTATAAATGATACTTGTTATCACTATTTCTTTTGAAATACCAACAGGATTTTTCTCAAAACTCATTAGAATGTTTATTGAAGTATTTTCTCTATTTCTAGAGAAGTACAGGACAGATCTAGTCTTAAATTACAAGTAGGTTTCTCTTAGTTTCTAGTTGTTCCCATTCAATTTTCAGTCTGATTAGAGAAAAATGATGATTGACAGGCAGCCATCTTGGATTTTGACCTTGAAAGTTTGTTACCACTATTTCTTGAGAAGTACGAGACGGTTCTGTCTCGAATTTCATTTGTAGATTCCCCATGGTGCTGAGTAGTTGGCTGACTGGCATCTATCCTTGATTTGATAGTTAAAGATGATTATCTAATTTCATATAATCAAGAGTAAATAACTCCGAAGAAATAAGAGGAAAGAAAGAATAAAGATCCAACTTTTAAAAAATGAAATGAAGATTAAACGGTTGGGGGAGGGAAGGGCTTCAAGATTCCTCCAGACTCAAATCAAATTGATATTCAATACAATGCATACTGAAAGTGTATGAACAATAATCAGCTTAGCAAATATACCCATCACATATTATTATTGTTTGTCTTTTTAAGATTATTTTTCGTGAAATTTTTAGTAAATTTTCCCAAAATTCACATTTGTGCTTGATTTGTATATTTGAAAATTTCAGGGATTTTTCCGTAGAAGTCTTAAGAGGAAAATAGATTACAGATGTCAGGGACCGGTGGGAAAGGAATGTGTCATAGAGCCAGGAAGACGGAACAGCTGTCCAAAGTGCCGTTACAAGAAGTGCCTTGCAGTAGGAATGTCAAAAGAAGGTAAAAGGAAACCAGATTTCTAACATTATTGTAGTGGTGCTTTATACATATTTCTAGAGGTCGTTGCATTGTATGAGACCTGAAACCACAAATGTTATAACATAAAAATATTCTCAATTGTTGTGCAAATGTATATGTATTTATGCTCCCCAAAAATTTCCAGGGAGTAAATATTCACCGCCTTGTCTATCTGTCTATTTGTCCATCCTTTTGTGTCTGGAGCATAACTTTGCCCACAGTTAGGCAAGGATCGTGAAACTTAGGTATACATCAGTCATACTAAGGTGATGTGCAGTGTACTAAATTCAGGGATGTCATAACTTTTCCTCCATTTGAACTAGGATATTGAAAGATGATGTATACATCAGGCATGCAAAGCAAGGTATAGTGTAGCAAAGTCAGGGTCCATGACCCTTCAGCACTGAGTTATTTTGCCCTTTGTTGAAATGTTTGTGTCATGAGCATAGCTTTGCTTGCATTAAAACTAGGATCATGGAGTTTGGTATATACATTGCTCATACTAAGAGTATGTGCTCTATTCAAAATTCAGGGTCTGCAACACTTTAATTACAGAGTTATTGCCCTTTGTTAAAATTTTATGCCCATTAAAGTTGTTTTGTGTCAAATCTAATTAAGTCTGAAATCAAGCTTTTGGTGTCAGTGTTGAAAGTGTATTTGGAAACAGGTTTCAGCTGATGAAACCATCTCCTAATGCTAGTTTGAGGTTTATCAATAAACAATGTGAGGCAAGTCTTTGTAACTTAGCACTCTTGTTGTAAATGCTTTCAGGCCCTTCTAGGCTTACTATTGAGTTATGTTTTGATAAAATACTTGAAAATCTTTAAATTTTATTGATTGCATCAGAACTTTAAATATCTGCATTGAAACAAAATTGAATAAAACTTTTCAGAAAAAAATTATTAACATTTTGCAGCAATCAAAACAGGCAGATATACACATGAGAAGCGAACCAACGATATCCGTGAGATTAAACAACTTCAGAAGCAGGAACTAGGCAGAGAGATTCCACCTGGCCCCTCACCAAGGCTTTCTCCTCTTCCTTTCAATGTTAATTCGTCAAAAGATATATCAGGTGAAACGTCACCTGCGAGAGTTAAAGAGGAAATGTTCTGTGATGAAGAAATAGAAAGTCTGCTGACAAGGATGGACAAAGCACAGGAGGAAATGTATGGTCCTATGTGGAAAGTTTGGCTCGATGAGGACAATGATATCATAAAAAAGACGCAGAAATATCATGTAAGTCCATGCAGTGGCAATTCAGTGTAGCTGTGATTTCAACATGAAAGAGACGTACAAATATGTTTATACTGTTTTTTTTTCAAAGATTTAAGTCTGCAGGTTTTGGTGTTGGCATGACCAATATGACCCTTGATCTTGTTCGAGGGAAGAAAAGGCACATGTTTTACCTGCCATTCAGAGATTTAGATGCAAGGACTATGAAATATATTTAGGATTAAGAATAAAGACCATATATTGTTTATTTATAAGCTTCAAGTATTTGTGAAAAAACAATCCTTATTGCCTTATACTGCTATTTTATTTCATAGGCTTAAAGATATGCTGTGTGTGTACCCTGATACAATATTGACAGTGTTACGGTTGATTTACATTGATATAATTACACCTGTGAGGAAACACATCATAAAGCATTCAAATTAAGATTGTTAGCAGGATATGGAAAAAAAATGGCTCTGTGAGTTTTATAAGGAACATTGGCTAAAATTTTCTTTGATCATCTGATTTTCAAAAAAAAAAAACAAAAAACAAAAACAAAAAAACAAATTTGGTTATAGTTTTGTTAAATCAGCAGAGTTGAAAATTGCTTTAGTGTAGAGAACTTACCAGATAATAAGGTAGGATATTGTGGTCAGTGGTATGTGGAATGTTGCTGTTTTAAATACACAGGTGATGCTGATTAAATACACGCTGTGGAAAAACTACATGACAATTACATTGAGTATGGTCTTTAAAGAATATCAATAGTCAGTCCATATTTATATTTAACATTTGTATACCAACAGGATGAGTTCATGGCAAAAAAGGAGTTGTTTGGAGATTTGTCTGGTATATCAAAAGAGGAACATCGTACTTTCTACGACACTACAGGTATTGACTTGGACAATCGACTGGAAATGATGAGCAACATTGCTACCACCATGGAAAATGGAATCACAAAGTATATCGGATTTGCTAAAAACATTCCTGGATTCTCAGAGTTGTCATTGGATGATCAGGCGGCACTTGTGAAAAGTGAGTAGCTGTGCGTTTATGTAATGCTTCCAGTTCAAAGAGAGAGGATAATAGCCTTTGATTGTGTTTGTTAATCTGTTTCATTTTAAAGGCAATGATGATGTCGATGAATTATTTTAATATCTAGTGTGTTCATGCACATCTGAGTAGAAGATATGCCTTTAGAGAGATGTAAATATGCATTATCTATTGAAGTTAGGTCAAAGACATATGAGTTACTGTGAGTCCGAGTTCCTAACTTTAAGATTCAATTTCAAACTTTAAAAACATTCTTTAGAAGACATACATAATTTTAGAGGGTTTTACCAAAAATTACCTACATTATTGAAAAAAAATCTGGTATATTAGACGTTGCGTTAGGATAATTTTCACCAAAAATAAAATTTCTCCTAACAAAATGATTTGTAAATGAATTCCTATTTTAAAGTCTCCTTCATGGAAATGACAATCAGGTTTATCATATCTTGATATCTTCAAATGAAAAGGATATTATATGTTTCTTTTTTAACAGGTTCAAGGTTTGAGTTCTGGTTCTGGGGATTTTATAGGTTCATCAATGCAGACTTAGGAATTACAACAAACTTAAAAGGAAACTGTTATCACATACGGGAACTTTTCAAATTGTGGGACGAAACGTTCATCACAACGTTGTTCAGTTTTGTGCGTTCTGTTCAGAAACTGAATTTGTCAGTGTTGGAAATTTCCCTCATTAGGAGTATTATTCTGACTTACACAGGTAAGTGTGATCTGTAGGTAAAATGTTGTTGTTTATTTGTTTACATTGTTGATGGAGACTACTTTGAACAAGTATCTTGATTTTGTTTCTTTAAACTGCTGTGACCTGATGCTTCGTTCTAAGGATGTCAGGGGTATGACATCTCTCTTCCCGAGGTACTCAATTAATCCTTGCAGACATACTGTACTGGTTTGTTGACCAGAAATTTCAAGTGGTTATGACTATCATGATTTGTAAATTGTATCACAAAGTTTGGCTTTCAAGTCAATCTAACTAAGCTATGACAATACCATTAAAAAAGAGAAGAAAAAATTCAATGCTTGTAATTTCTGGAGAGCTACATGTGTATATCTTTTCTCAGTATTTTTTCAGTATTTTTTATGCAGCACAAAAAAACAGTTTTGAAACTTAGATGAAAATGGAGAGTTTTGTTTCTGGTGTTTTTAAGCTTGTTTTTTACCAAAAAGTGATAATACTGCTGCAGCAAGGACCTTTCATTCTAGTTTAAGGTCATTTTAGTGCATGATTGTGTATTACCACCATTGGATGAAAAAACATTTTAAATCAATTACTTAAGACAAGCATTTGTGTACTGGTGATGTGAGAGTATTCATTGTCTGTACACCAACACAAGCGAGGTTTTTGAGTTTTGGATTGATATGGTCAAGGTTTTAAGATATTATTTACATATTTTCCAAACCAGATCATATTCTTATTCATATCAAGTCACGTGGGCTCATATTCATGAAACCATGCTCATGCTCAAGTGTAGATTTTGTGTTCAAGCAAACTTTTTTTATAATTCACCTAAATCATATGAAATAATACAAATGTCAAATTTAAACCTTGAATATAACTTTGACTTGAAGTCCTTTTCAAAATTGTTTTGAAATCTTTGGCAAAATAAGCCTTATTTATTAATCTTTAACTTAAACAAGATATAAGGCTTGAGCACAAAATTATGCTTAAGCATGAGAATGGTTTCATGAATACGGGCCCTGATCTGCACAGCAGTCTTATTTTAAGTCTCTCTAATCTGATAGCTAGAATGTAAATTGTCTATCAATTTCCAATTAGTATTTAGACAATAAATGGTCAGTGTCTTAAAATATAAGTTGTATTTTGGCGAGATGAAGAAAGACAAAAATGGGGAGTCTCAGGTGAGCCACTTTTGTCTTTCTGTCCTAAGCCAGCTTATATTTTAAGACACTGACCATGTTTTCTATTTATCCTACAACTTTGATTGAAAATCAGACAATCAAAAACTTCAATAGTTTTGTTGTTCAATTTATGTTTACCTGTCGTTTATGTTACTCTGAATTTTGTCCAAAACGTACACCAAAATGACTGCTCTGCTTAGAAATGTAGTTCCAAACACGAGTGATTTGATAAATTTTCATAAATAAACTTATTCGTTACAACATATAAAATCACTTATTTCAACAGTTATTTATATTATTAAATATGATTTTAAATAAATTCAGAAAGTAATTCTGTCAAATTACCGCACATGATCAAATACAGCTGTTTTTCTCACTGCTGAATACAGGGAAAATACATGTGGCAAGTGTATTCCGACAATGCCAGCACCAGTTGTAGGATAAATTTGTATATGGTTCATCCAGTTCTCACCCCATCAGTGTTCTCAGATTCCAAATTCTACCAGTGAGTCCTATTTATAATCATAGGATATCAGAGGTTGGTATAATAAGTGCAGGTCACATTTTCCAGCCTTGTTATGGTACTCAATTTGATTACTTGTAGATCGTTGCAATTTGGCCGAACCAGACAAAGTGGAGACAATCCAGTGGAAAATGATAATGTGCCTCAAGTACCAGGTGGAAAAAACCCATTGCCCACAGGAACATTTCCTCTCGAAGATCTTTGACCGTCTTGCAGCTATACGATGTCTTACAGAAATTAACACTCGAGTCTCTCAAAGCCTTAAGTTGGAGTGGCCTGTAATCAAGAACCACCCTCTCTTGTTGGAACTGATGTCTATTTGAAACAAGTTGGTCCAGCTTGTATTGATTTGAAATATGATGTTTGAGCTGCAAGTGTATTATATGAACACGAAAATGATGTCAAATTGAAATGTATTGTTCTGAAATATCAGCTGTTTGAGCTCACACTCAATTGATATATTGAGGAATTTTTTTTCCATGCATGGTTGTCAAGTATACATCATCTGGATAACTATCAATCAGGATGTTTGAATGTCGTTATATTTTGGTTTGGTTTATGCCGTAGGCATGTACTTTTGCTGTAGAAAGCAATAAGCTGAAAGTTATAAACATTGGAAGTATTTCTTCGAGCTCCAAATTTCCATTCCTTTGATTTGAATAAAAAAAATCATCTTTAAAAAGTTCAGTTGATACTTTTCATATCGTCATGAAATGGTCAAATGGCCACCAAGTATTTACCTGTTATATACAAATCCTGTTTAAACTTTACAACAACTCACCTACAAGGTGGACACTAATCAATAGTCAATGTATTGTTGTAATATTAATATAATTTTAAATACAGTCATATAGGTGCTAAGGCAAAAAAGCCAAGTATGAATTTACCTTTAGATAAAGCTTGGCTTCATTTTATATAAGACACATAATGAATATAAAGAGACAAATAGACATACTCTAAACATATATATGTTTAACGGTTAACTTTCATTTACTGCTTTTTTTCTGAATTTTTCGTGCTTAAACATAAAACTGTGCTGTCACATTGTCTTTATGGTTTTTTTTTGTTTTTAGCAAATCTTGTGATCGTTGTACTTATTTGCCAAAAAGTAATGATATGTTAAAATTCAGTTGAGCCAAATTAAGTATATTTAGGGTATGTAAGTGTAGACCAATTTCATATATATCTCATTAAGGGCAACTCCTCTTTATGAAACCAGGGATATGTGAAATGATACTTTTTCAACCTTGACAAGAGATAAGTTCATAGATAGATGAACTCATCAGGAATTATTTAGTCAGTTATAATACATAATAAGTAAAACTAATGATAAATCTGACTACCAGAACTATCATTTAACTGTATTTGAAGTTGACCAATATATAAAATACCAATAACATCATAATGCATCATATTTGATTTAATTTTAACTGATAGATCACTTGTATCTGAATTATTCCCTTTTGTATCTGAAAACCTGCAGTACTTTTCAACTTATAGGTCCTTTTCTGTGTTTTTGTACTTAAGATAGTATACTGGGTTGATGAACAGAGTTTTAGATGCTGTGGAAACTGTTGAACCTACACCCTAAATGAGAGTTATGGTTTTTGTGCTATTGGGTTAAGATAGTGTTGATGGGACAGTCTGATTATAGAGGCTATACAGTGTTAGAATGGCATATTGCTATAAGGTGGATCTGCACCTCGATAGTCATAATTTATTGTAAACTGAAAGCAGAACATAAAAAGATATACCAGAGACTAGCATTGCTAATTGGGTGTAATAGCTTCAGATGTTTGATGTGTTTATGTGATATCAGTACGAGGAATGGATAAGTATATCACATTCAATTACATACAAATTATCTGTGTCAATATGCAAAGTATATGAACAGTGCATCATTTTGTGAAAATATGTAACATTTCATTTAAACATTTGCTGAATTTTTTAAATGCATTTATCATCATGAAAGTTCTCAAATTTTCTGATAGAACTTTTATGTTGACATTCCAATGTGATTACTGGCTCAGAAAAATATAATTTCTTTTGTAAGATGTAAGTTCTCCAAACAGGGATGTATGATCTAGTGTTAGGAAGCTGTATATTCTTGTAAAGCTACAGCAACGAAATTCAAGTTAACTAGCCATGTTATTGTTTTCACTTTGATTCTTCTTATTACATCTTATCATTATTCTCATGATTGTTTTTAGATGTTTTCAGAAAAAACTACTTAGGCAACACTAACGAAACTGTACATTGGTAATGGCTGGCCGCTTGAGATCATCAAATCATTTATTTTTATGATGATATCAAAGATGGCTGACATTTTCTGGCTTAAGTTTTCAAAAAAAAAAAAATTCAAGATGTATATTTGGGTTTCAAAGACCTGCCTTGTTTCTGTTGGAGTACTTAATTGTGCACTGTGTTTGACGGCCTGGGTACTGTATAGTTTGGGGAACTTCTCTGTTACTCTCAAAATGGTAAAAAAAATATGATGATCTAGTCTCCAATATATTGGAATCATTTTTTGAGTTATTCTGTGTTTTTGATCCATGTATGCATTGTTGATAACGTAAAACCTTGTGTAACAGATATGGACCTGTAAACAGATTCAGTTCATATTCACACCAGAGTGTCATACCAGCAAGGTCTATATCTGATTTTTTCTGATCTAAGGATTGAGATCAAATCTTTGTGGACCCCTACTCTTTGTCTCCATGTTTACTTGCTACACAAACTAGTATCATCTTTAGGGAAAATTCTAGATAATGGTAAATTAAAGTTACAAAAAAATGGAACACAAATGTAGTTAAAATCATCTTAAACTCAGTATAAGTATTTATAGTCTCACTCCACTGCAACAATTAAACAGCTCAACCATGGTTATTATGGTTGTTGTATGCCTAAATGCTTCCCAAGAGCAGATGTTTGCTACAGAATGTTTTCCAGGCCTGGTGACTTTGAAGTAGGAAAACCAGTATTAGATATGAAATGGAACACTTGTCTATTCTCAACCATGAGGAGAGTCTATGTGAAAGGCTGGTAAGAAATAACCAGTGGTTTCAAAAATTAATTGAATGAAATTGGGAAACATTCTTTTTTTCCATATCACAGCTGTAGTCAGACTGGTATGTTTTGAGTGTTGATTTTTCCTTAACATTCCTATTTGTTCAGTGTCAGAAATTTGAATTTTCCACTAACCACTGTTGAACTTTTTACTTTTGAGCAACTTGGGCCTGGTGTTAAAAATGTTCATATGGCACATACATGAACAATGGACATCATAAGGATAGTGTGACAGCTTGAATTGCATCTCATGTGTACACTCTTTTTGTAAAAAATGAATATCAGAGTTGAAATAAGTGTTTAATTATCATTTTAACTTGAAGGTACAACAAGTGAGCTAGTTAAAAATCTTCAGCATAAGATTAATACTGTTACATAGCATTTTAATCCTACAGTCTCTGTGAAACGGTAATCATCTATTAATTTAAACAAAATATGAATTATCAACAGGGTTCACAGCATCATTTCTAGCCTACATATTTATTATAGTATTTTGTGTATACCATGTGGCAAGAGTGCTTTATGAGAAGTGCAGTTCTGTGCAAAAATGTGAGCGCATCAGTTAACTGAAGGTATACAGAGTCAGCTTTAGAAGTGCTATCACAAAAGAATTATGGCAATTTCATTATAGAATTACGTACATCAAAATGGAATACTCACTGAGGGAAATGCTTCATACATACAACAAACATTCAGATCAGTCAACACTGACAAGTGTTTTGAGTGTTTTATCAAAACAGCATAAATCTTCCTGCCATTTCATTACTTTTTGAGTTGGTTGTTGTGATATGAATACTGTATCATAATCATGTGAATAGATGAGAGGGGGATGTGAAATAAGGGAAATATGTAAGAATTGCTTGTACAGAAAGCCCATGTATTTAATGTCAGGCGCAAGTTTTAGGAAAAGTGCTTATTTCAAGGAAGTTCTGTTGAAGTATGTCAATAGAATATATCATCAGACTTAAGGCAAAATTCCAGGAATATTTTCCTCCGAGCTAATACTTTCCTATGGATATTTTGAGTTAATGTATTTAAGAAATAAACTCAAGACTAATGCCTTTCATTATCAATTATGATAGAAACCGATGTCTGTTATTGTAATACAATTTTGTTGTATTTAAATAAATTTCACATTCACATAAAAATTGATATAGACATTATGTCTCAGGAGTGTGATACTACAGCTCATATCTATGCTTTTTATTACGCTTGATCAACCTATGACTGCATCGTTTACATGTCTGTTTTTATATAAATATTGAACTTAACAAAAATTGCATATTTTGATATTAATCAGAGAATACACACTTTAACCATCACTGAAGTTATGCTACCTACTTATTACTGTTCGATATTTCTTAACAATAGTCATGCTCAATTTCATTGTCTTTATTTTTGTCATTTCCAGGCCCAACCTTCGTTTCTTCCATTCTGTTACAGTATCAATGAATGTGACATTTACATCATATTAAGTATACTTCCAAAGTGCCTAGTGCTATCCAAATGTCGTGTCTCTGCTCCTTGATTGAATATGATTTTGTTCTGTGTTATGGTTCGCACATTAGACGTATGTCAAGCCTTGTCCAAGTCTGGGGGTAAGGATCAAGGTGTTGCTACTGTAATCAAATAGTTCCAAATGCTTGTTGTTTATTCAATATCTCTCATTGTAGATAAAATGCATTGACTTTTTTCAGGAAATGGGCATATAAGTTTTGTTAGTACCGATTCCAGACTACATTCTACTACTTGAGTTTACGACATTACATGTTATTTTTTATATTTTTTTTTCATTTTGAAACAAGCATAAATTCATTTTTTGTCTGGTCTATGCCAAAAAAGCAGCTATCTTTTCCTGAATATATTGGTAAATAAATCAGAGATATATGTTCTGCTTGAAAAGAATGATATGTTTATTTGGCTAACAGCCTTCCTTTCTCTTAACATACTTAATTTGGAGCAATCAAATTTAGTTGCATTATCAACTAAATAATGATACAATAAGCGTAATGTCTTAAATTTCCACATCCATTATAAAAGCCATATAAAAAAACTGAAAAATTGCAATCAGCGCAGAGCTTTTAAAGTAAAAAATGCTGAAGTACGTTTACACCTAAAATGTGTACGTTACAGTGTTAACAATTGTATCTAAACAATTTTTATTGTACTAACAATAAAAAAAATATATGTATTTGTTGCGACCAAAAATATTCATGTCTTTTATGTGATAAAATAAAAATGAATATTGATTATTTATTTGTTACACTTTTGATATGCATTTCATCAGCTGTCATATTATTCATTGTTGTAAATTTTCAAGTGGCTGAACACCACACATGTATAATGCTCTATATAGACTTTGAAGTGGTGTAACACAATCTTTCATCTCACTGTTATCCTATTATTCAAGAATAACTTTTTCTAAAAAAGAAAAAAAAAAATACATTGTATATAACCTATTGTTACCTCAAATTTAAATGAGAAAATGATGTAAAACAATCACAATATCAGATTTTAAGTTAGACACAGGAGTAAAAACTCTTTTTTTTTTTTGTAAAAAAATAAGTTTATTTTCACTTTTTGATTTGATTTTAAGAAATGCATTTCATTTCTTTGGAGGTTGGTAGAGTTTTGCTAAAATGAAAAATTCTCATACCCACTTCATGAATTTCATGAAGTGACCCCCATATGACCCTATATATGTGAAATTTTCATTTCTGTATTATGCAGTTTACGCAGCTTGTACAGGCATCCCCAGTAAAACAGTATGTTGCCAAGCTTATATTGTGCTATATTCACGTGCTGTAACAGCACTGTCTATTCTGGTATTCTATTTATAGAAAACATTCCCTTCTGAAAAGTTATGATATTCAGAAATTATATGTCTGTATGAACATCAGAGAACATTTTTCAGCAATTTTGTTTGTGTTGCTGCTAAATCACTTGCTGTAACTCTTGGTGTTGTAACAATGTAGGAGAGATGTCTAGGAATATTCCACTTATACTGCTGTTTCTTGCTCGCCAAATAATTGATGCATAAATCTGTATGAGAAAATTAACTTACACAGCAAAGTTTTCCAACGACAGCTGTGTTGAAAGATGAATTAAAAAGTCGTTCTAATTTGAAGATTTTATTGAAAAAAATCCTTGTTAGGGAAATTAGAGATGTATATATTGTATGGGGCAGTATGGTGAAGATATGTAAAAAAAATTCTAATAAGGCATGGCCGGTTTAGTACTGTTGTACCCATTGTAAATATGTGCATATGTCAATTATCTTCATTTTGTTGGTATCTGTTACAATTGAATTTTCTAGAATTATTCGGCAGGTTTTATGGAATGTCTGAAATTGATACGACTATTTCGTTCACATCCTTCAGCTGTGCCATATTGTATATTTTTATTCATATAAATTAGATAAACAGGATATCTTTAAGGTTGTCTCTGATAATTAAGCTCATTATGCGAGATGCTTTTAATCATGTCTACGTACTTATATGATAAGTTGGTCTATATTGGTAACTCACTGTACTAGGATTGGTAAGTGATTTAAGTATATTTATTACTAATCGACCAAAAATATTTAAAACTGGTCTGAAAGCCTATGTTGAAAGTATTTGATAAGCCGTTGCCCGGAGTTACATATTTGAATTATCATTCTTGTTTCCGAAATATGTCGATCTTCGTGCCTTTCTATTCCTATGTAACGATCACGTTACGTGTTCTTTGAGTAAAATGTGAAGAGAAGAATGCTTTTAGTTACATTGTCCTTTCGTTACAGACACAAAATATTAATAAATATTTTGTTATCTCTTTATTTTCATATATCGCAACATTTTAACTGGAAAACGGTCGATCTATTCCCATTGGCATTCTTACACATGCTTACCTGTCGCGTGGTGGAGAAAGGCTTGCCGTGATCAAAATGTGCTACCATCTTAAGTTTCACATTTCGCTCCAAACCAGACATCGATTAATTTCCTGGCAATTCGGTCGTTACATTACTATGCTGTGTACTTGTAGTTTAATCCTCTGCCACTTCCTCATATTGCCGGAAGTCAAGTTCACTCACCTGCATCTTATTTAGCAGGTTAATGAATGAAACTACATCAATGATGGCTGGGAGTTTCCTTGTAAACGTTTCAAAAGTTAGAGACACATGTCAAGTACATTCAAACGGTTTGAAAAGGCGGATAAGCTTGGTCAGAGGAAGGTGAAGAGCTGTGGAAAATCAAAGGAAAAAACCCAGACGTGTTCCAGTTTGGGAAAGGGAACTTTTGACAGAGCGAATGAGTAGTATGGTTTTCAAAGACACAAACGAGAAAAAAATATCAGAAGAAACTACAAAATTACTTTCGGCTACTTCGGAAGAAACTGTTATCAAGAAAGTGTTCTAAAACTATGAAAAAAGTTATAGCAGAAATATATATCTATATGTATTAGGAGATATTTCTAGTGGTTAGGCTGTTTTCACTTCAGAGGCGAGTTTAAGTAATGTGGAGGCTGTGGTCTGATGAATCCTTCGTTAACGACAAAGCTGAACTAAAATACTTTAGGAAAACTGCTGGTACATTGTGTCAAAAATTCCTAAATAACCATCGGTACATTAATTCATTAACTGTGACTAAACAAATACATCTTTCTGGTAATAGAGAAGATTTGTTGGAAACATCCCCTAGATTTTGTAGTGGTCAATATTCGTGTAGCTTTTGTATGTATTTGAAAATCATGAATATCCCTAAATTATTTCAGCTGGCGAATGAAATTATATTGACCTGGATGAAGTCGAAAATGCTTGTATGGCATCGATAAGCCGGCAGTACAAAGGGAGACAAAACATTCAGACTTCAGGTCAAACAAAATTCGTTGCTTATACTGTTATACATCCTACTGTATTTTATACAGTACTTTATGTAGCAAGCGAATATTTAAAATGTCTCAATGTATTTTTTTTCATTAACAAAAAAATTGAAACGAATTGCATTATATTGGAATTATCATTGACTTTAGACGAAATTCAAGTTACCTGTATTTCTTGATGTTATTTGAAACACAATTTATCCGAAATAACAGAATCTGTTACAGCCTCCAGGTTATGACGTTTCGGTCATGAAAATATACATCCTTGAACACCGTGCCGTCTTCATATGACTCTGGCTGTTCGGAGGTCGTAAATCACAAACATTTATCGGTATTGCAATGCTTTCAGTAACATTTACACATATATATGTATACATTTGGATCTTTTAGTAACTTTTACGATATACACAAAATCACCATTATCGGATAAAACCTCCTTTATTTAGCAACACGTGAAAAACTTCCGTTGTCTGAAAATGACCGACAGTAAATAAAGTATGTTAATAAGATTGACTGATATCTAACTATAAACTTATAAGCTTAAAAAACATTGTGTGGTTATATATATACAATCATGATCCTTTCCCTATCATGTTGTAATAACGCCAACATTGGATTTTAGTTACAATATTAAATTTCTCGTTGCTGGACCTGATAAGATAAATTTCCTGCTGTTGTTGGAATGAGTGTAATTTTTTTTTTTTTTTTTAAATCCATAGAACACATTCATAAAAGCACATATCATGATAATATTTGTAAATCATATTTGAATCTGTTAATCGTCTCGTCTTGATTTCTTTGTGGTGTAACTTACAGACATTCCTATGAGACGATCCCTTCACATTAACACTGGCGCGGTATTGTGTAATCGTTTGCGTTCGTTAACAAAATTTATGTCGATTTTGTGTCCTGTTTAACTAAAAAAAAAAAAAAAAACGAACCATGAAACAAGGCCTGTATTTCGTATTAGTAGTATGTAATACATTATCTATATCTATATTTACTTAATATGTCTTACATTAAATGAGTGTGGAAGAAATTAGGCCTGAAAATGGTTTTCTATCACACACAAACATAATACTAGCTTGTACTACCAGAGAAAAACTTGTCAAGTAACATGTAAAAGGATCGCCGTGTATGGAATTTAAAAGAAATTGGCAGTTGACCATATTATTTATGAATAAAAAAGATTTACAAGTCACAAAAAATACTCTTGAGATAACAGATCACATTACAAGTGCCGATCTCATACAAAGCTGTTCTACCAGTTCACGTAGGCTTTCGCCGGTCATCAAACAGCTCTTTTAATGAGAGTTGACTAACACAAAATCTACACCCTTTTTAAATTGAACATTTAGATGGTATGCTAAATGTGATGTAGATATTTTTGAAAATCATAAGTTCGTTTTTTCCATTAGAGTCCCATTTTATCAAGGCTCGGACAATGCAAATAGAAATATATTATGTACACAGGGGTACGACAGAGCCCTGGCGATTGTCGGTGAGACGGATCCCCGCTATAGACAGATTCGCTTAGGCGGTAACACGAACCCTTTATTTTATGACATACCTAGTCCTGATATTGACAATACAATCTACCAGCCTGTCAACCATCCAATATTTAAATAATTCCTTTATTTCTTTTCATTACCAAGGAAACCTTACGTACACATTACGTCCACTGGTGGTTCGATTACTTGTTAAAGATTGTACAAAAGATATACAGGTGAGCAATACCTCCCAATAATCATTATCATACATTAATACAGTACGGACAAATAATTGCACTCAGCTGTTTCATTCTTCCAGAACTCATCTGTGCCTGATTTTCAAAATATTTAAAGCGGCTGAAGAAAATCAAAATTGATCGGAAGAAATATGAAAATCTAAACAAGGGGATGCACCAGCCTGATAATTCTCGTGTTGATAAATCATCGCATGAACCCAAGGTCAGGTTTTGTAATATTTTCACTTTACGAAATAATCCTTTCCTGTCTTTTTATAGAAACGGGGCGTATTTTATACGTCCCTGCTTCTACTAAAATAACAAACAAGAAAAAAAAAAACACAAAATTAAAAAAAAAAAAAAAAAAAAAAAAAAAAAAAAAAAAATTAAAAAAAAAAAAAAAAAAAAAAACATGAAGCTGAACTAATTAACAAAATTAATAGGAAATACATAGTTTTACAATGCCATTCCATTTACCGTTTTTTCCTCAGCATATAATTTCGACAACAATCTGATCAATTTCGCATTCGAAATTGTATTGCATTTTTTCTTTTAATTGATATAACCAGAAGAATTTTCACTGCTATATCTATTGCAATTTGAATGGGTTT